ATTTTGCCCTATGTAATCTGTAACCTCTATGCCATTGGGGAGTTCGGTCTTTAGAGCATTAGCTCCCCAATTCCATATTAGCTAATAATAAATGTTTTTTTCGATACTGAAAATTCCTGCTCGTGCATGTCTTCAGTCCAGTGCATGCAGGCAGGTAGGTCTAAGGAAGAGCATTGGCATTCCAGTAACAATTTTTGGTGCCCAGTGAGTGGTCTCTTCATGTGGATACACCAGCACCTAGCCCAGGTGGGGTTTCTAGGTCCCCTCCTGGCAGCTGCTGGGGCCCATTTGGCCTGGAGTCAGGAAGTGGGACAGGGAAACAAGACACTGTTAGCTGGCAATGTTGACCTCTAGCACACTTTTTTTGTTGTTAAATTTATTGGTTTGAGAAAGAGAAGCTAAGCAAGAGCAAGTGAGAGAGAGATAGACACTGATTTGTTGTTCCATGTATTTATGCATTCATTGTTTGCTTCTTGTATGTGCCCTGACCACAATCAACCTGTAACCTATGTGAATCCTGAGGATGCTTAACCAACTGAGCTACCCCACCAGGGCCCTACAAATGCTTCTTGTTTGTAGGAGAAGAAATACAAAGGGTCAAGATATACCCTTTGATTTTATTTTGGAGATACTTACTGGAGAGTAACCTTGATGGTGATCAACCCAGGAACACCCTCCCCTGTATTATTACTTTTGGTTGGGTGCTTGAAGGACTCATTTAACTTGTTTTAGAGGTCCCCCTATTGGTTGTACTTAAGGAGGTTATAGTCAGCAAGTAGGATTCATTACTAAAACTGTATCTGCTATTTGTTGAGTCTGTGTTTAGTCACGTGGGAAGGGCAGGGAGACAATTACAACCGCACTACAGCAGACCTTGAAGCAGTGGACATCTCAAGCTTCACCAAGCAGAACTCAAGGTATCTGTACTACTCAGGGTCCCAGGTATAGTTGGAAGTTTGGACCACCCAACTGTCCCCACTGTCTCATCTATAGTGGCTGCCTTGTCAAGGAACAGACTTTATAATATAAGGCTTGAAAACACAGTTTTTGAAAGAATCAAGGATAGTAGTTTTCTCCTAAATAGGTCAGTAGGCTCTAAACAAATAATAAAGGGTAAAACTAAGAGAAACTAAGTGTATTGTAGCTGGTCAAAGCCTGGCAGGTCACTCTACTGTCCAGGCAGACAGAAGAAAATGCACAGAGCCGTGGGGATGCTTGACATGCCTTTATTCATGGGTGGGTGAGCCATGCACGCTGCAAGCCGCACATCTCTCTGTATGTCTCTCGTCCCCCAATGTGGCACGTGTCATGGCACCTAGTGCGGAGTCCCTACCTGCTTAAGTACTAGAGACAAACAAAGCTGGCAAAAAGCCAAAAATGATATAACATAGCATGATTCTTCACACTTGAGGCCACTTCACTTATCTGATCCAGTCTCAAGGCTATCAGAACACTACTCATCAGGCCCATTCAAGGTTACAGGAACACTGCTTCCCTTAGTTACATAGACACCTGGATGAGGAAACAAGACTGCCTCCATTTATCCTACACTAAGAAAGTGGTAGAAGGTCTGTGGAAAATAACTATGAGAATAGGTATTATCGTCTTGGAGAAACTCATCTCTAACTCAGCCCTACAACGTAGCCCCCTAACAAAGCTGGGCCATGTTCAACTGTGAACCAGTGAAGAGGAAGACAATGCTCTTCTGCCAGGTGGCATGGCCACAGTGTAATTTAGGATCAGGTAAACACTGACCAGAAAATGGGTCCTTAAACTACACTACCATCATGCAACTTGAGTTTTTGATAAAAGAGGGGAAATGGGATGAAATCCCCTATACAGTAGCATTTATGCTTTTATATGAGAGTAAGTCTGTTCAAAAGAAATGCAGAATAACACAAGCGGGTCAGCTGGTTAGATCAGTTCTCCCAGAGACTCCTGAGAATGAGGGAGAGTCATTCTTACTCCAGCTTAACGACCCTGTGGTCATTCCCACTCCACCTCCTTATGGAGGGGATGCAGTTGCAGCTCCTCCCCAACAACCTGCACAGGAGAGGGGGCCTTCACCAGACCTGGGAATGGTCTCCCCTCCTACACCCACAAGGGCACTAAATCTGGTCATGAGGTTCCTGCAATCCAGGCAGGGCAATTTCCATTAAGACAAGTGCCAATAGGAAGACTTGATGTCCACGGACAATCGGCAGGGATGGTCTGCACGTACACTCCGTGTACAACTTCAGACCTTTACACTTGGAAGAACGATGTGCTTGAATTCCCAGTGCTTACTCTCAGGATGGAACTTTTTAACTAAACTCAGTGCCATAATGATCCCTGCCCTTAACTGTGTGGCCATGAAGGCGCCTCAGGATGAAACTTACACCTTACAGGCAGCTTCAAAGACCTCAACATAAAAAGAAATTCTGGTCAAGATTAAAAAAAAAAAAAGGTAACTCCAGAGGTCTGGTCCCAGGGCAGACCTGGAAAGGCAAAAACCACCACTCTAATACAAGTACGACTGTGGTGGGCAGGGGCATCTGTCCCCCATCTAAAACTCTAAGACAACAAGTGAAGAAGAGAATCCAAACAGTGGTACCAGCCTTCTTAAAATACCAGTTTACCCGGCATTGTCATTTACTATATAATACTCCCATCTTACTGGGGCAGAAACCAGGCACTAATAAATACCGGTTGGTCTAGGACTTGTGAAATGGAGGGTCCTTATGGCTTTGATTAAATTTAGTTTTAAATCCTAGCTCTAGAAATCTTATCACTCTTTCTTTATATTCCCTCCCAGAGACCTAGCCTTTCCCCAGATAACCAGCAACCCTGGAGGCAGCGGAAGACAGAAACCTGGACCTGACTAATGGTCACACAGTCTAGACCTCTGGCAGATTGAAGATAACATCCTTACTGATATTACTGACGCAGTAACTGACCCAAGTTATGTTCCAGTTTCTGAGCCCTAAGGTAAAATGAACTCCTGGCTACTTTTTCATGAGACTGGACAGAGGAGTGCCAGAAAAATCTTCAGGACTTAAAGAAATGATGTATCACCCTTTCCTCGCATCCAACAAATCAGCCCCCATCATTAACCCACGGTATCTTGTGTGAGGTTGTCCTATATACTCTGTAACCTCCATGCCACAAAGAACTCAAGTCTTTAGAGCATTAGCTTCTCATCTCTGTATTGGCCAATTCAGTATTAAATTATTATTTTTTCCTATACTGCAAACTCCTGCATTCTTTGGGCCAGTATGTGCAGGCAGATGGACCCAAAGGAAAACATTGGCGTACTGATAAGAAAATTGACAAAATTCAACCTCATAAGTCTTCAAATGAATAATAGAAGAGTCATACTAAGAGAAAGTGAAGAACAATTAAATGATTGTTTAAGTCAGTGATTCTCAACAGCAGGAGTGTTAGTGAGTAAGGTATTAATGAACTTCCCCACCAGGAACTTGTCACAATATTTAGAACAAGTTTTAGTACAAGCTCTTATTGGTCCAAATATACTTATCGGGTGCATCTCCCCCACTGAAAGCTGTTTTCTCTAGGACATTTTAACAGACACATACAGCATTGTAACCCAACCTACCGTTCATTTATCAGCTGTACATAATGACTTATAAATTCATATGTAGCTACAGATAACATCCTGTTTGCTTAAAGGATTCTAGGAGCTAAGCTCAAAGGAAGCAGTTTCACTCTGGGAGATTTGCTTACCTTTGACATAAAACTAGGATTAGGATGACGGAAACCAGGCCATTGCTCAACCGGCTCAGAAATGGTTATCGAAGCAGACCGTGCTGACCGTGCGCAAAGCAGAGGGTGCGCACAGCGGACGGCGCGCACGGCACCCTCAACGGAGCGCCCACCACTGCCTCCTGCCGCCCTCCTGTTTCCTTTGTTCTGCCTTCTCTTTCCTGGCTCATAAAAGCCCCCACCTGCACTGAGATGTTAAGATGGCCTTTGCAACCTCAGTCTGCCATCTTCTCAGGCTGCAGGCTCTTGAACAAACTGACTTTCCTTGCACCGGCCCTTGCCTCTCAACTCCTGGCTTTACGGGTAGCAGGCAGCCAAATCTGGGCTCAGCATCGGAATGCCAACTTCAGGAGAAAAGGTTGAAGATAATTATACTAAATGTGTCAGTTACTGAGGTATTACTACCTCATCTATGCCAAACTTCTGGTTTGGCTTACCAGTATTGTATATTTATATTTCATTATTGTCTATTGGAAACATAAATCGTTCCATATTATGTAGGAAAGTACTTCACTCTGGATTGTTTTAACTAGTGTGAAGGCAAGTAAAGAGACTAGGGTGAATATACCTCCATGGTTTGCTTCAATATAATGTGGTTAAAACCTTAAAAATGGTTTTTAAAACTATTACTATATTATGTTAAGAATAGAGCATTTAGAATTCTTTAAAAATACCTAAAAGCTGAAGGGGCTAAGAAAATGATTTGGTACTACAATTTGTGAAGAGGATATTTCTCACAGAACATGGAAAATGGGATGTCCTTCATCACCTTCAGGAAGGGCTATAGTATGATGGGAGCCCCTAAGCTGTTGCCATGGACATGGGCCTCAGTTGAGACTGATGTGTATGTCGTACTCCTTAGGAAGGGTTAGATGTGCAACTCAGGGGAAAAGTGCAAGAAGACAACCAACCTCCTATAATCACATAGCAGTCCTTTTTTCCTTTGCCAATGAAAAAGTAACAGATTCAATCTGGACAGAAATGAGTAAGGTCAAGTCACCAGCACTGTGCTGTGTGGCTTAAGTCTTGGCCAGCTGGGGAGCTTCTAGAGGTCAGAAACTAGTCCCAGGAGGCATATGAGTGTGAGGCATCTGGTGTAGGTTGAGGAGTAACAACTTATTTCACACAACTGTGAGAGGGTGATAGTTAGAAGACGTTCGGAAAAGACAGTCTTGAGAAGAAGTCTTCCAGACCAGCCCCGAACTGACTTGACCCAAGCAAAGCTCAGGCAAGGAGGGTGGCTTATTTAAAACTGGGAGGATTAAATGAAATTCTAAAGTGTATACGAAACATAATTCCCCCAACAAAGTATCTCTCAAACATGAAAGGCAGATATAAACACTGCAAGAAAGCAACAGAGAGAAAACCAAGTTAATGCTGCTATCAAACCAAGATAATTGTTTTAAATAACTTTTAAACAATGTATAAAGAGAGAGACTGTCACATCCATGACACAAGAACAAGTTTCTATGAAACAAACCACCAAAAAAAGTTCAAATCTCTTGAAAATAAAAAATATGGCAAAATATTTAACAGAGAGGCTGGAAGTTAAAGCTAAGGAAATTTCCCAAAATATTTCTTTGAAAGAAAGAGAGAAAGGAGGGGCGAGAGAGATAAGAAAATTTATGATCAATCTGTGAAGTTCTACATGCAAAAAAAGAAGTTCCAGAAAATGAGAAAAAATTAAAAATAATATAGACCTTCTTCAGCTAATGCTTTTACACTGTCTCATTAACATATGGATATTGCCTATTTTTGACTTAAAGAAAGGCTATAAACTAGAAAGAGCCATTTTACATCGTCTCCACCTTCATAAAAATAATATGACAGGAATTTTTGAAGTATAGACAGGTTTCTAATATTTGTTGAGGAAACAATTTGAGAACTGAGAATACCAGCCCACATTCCCACTGGTGAGCATCTCAGAGGGACGTTATTCTGGTGCCAGTGATGACTTGCTCTTCAGAAGAGATGGGCAGATCTCTGGGAGAGAACAGACTGAATGGCCCTCAGTGGACTCTGACTTATCCGGATCCTTGTCTTGTGGACATTCCTGTCTGTTCTGGAGGCTCAAAGGCTGTCATCCCACGCTCTTGTCCAAATTCCACGTCCTGTTTTTGTTTTTTTGTTTTTTTCTGGCATGACTCACTCCTGAAATTGAACAAATACTTACTGAGAAATTACTGGGATTATGACCTTGCTTGTATCGGGTAGTCTGGCTATATTCCACATTCTCTCTACATCACAAGCCCCTTCTCTCTTTAGAGAGCAGAAACCCAGGTCTGTGTGTCTTTCCCTTGTTCTCATGCCCAGTTGTGTTCCTGTGTCCCTACCCTGCTTGTCCCTTCCCTCACTGTCCTGATGACCAGACTCCTTAGGTTCTTTTCTGTCCTTTGTCCTAGTGGGCCTCAGAGAGTTTGAATTTCTTAAAGCTTGGGTAAAGTAGTTTTGGAATGCAAATACATATTTATTATTGGCTTTCAGAACAACTTTAGAAGTGAGAATATTCTCCTCTCCTGCAAACATGCTTATGAAAACTTCTCTCAAGGATAATTCGAAGTATTAGATCTCCTAGAAACATAGTGCTTACCTGTGGTAATCACTTAGCTCTTCTCAGCTGAGTAAAGAATGACACATAGTGATAAAGATAATAAATTCTGCAATAAATGGTCCTACCATTAATTTTTTCTATATTCAAAGTTTAAAAGAAAAACTAGGGCTGCATCATCCCATGTAGTACTGTGATGTAAGGACTCATCTATGAATCATATATGAATCATTATCATGCTTTTAGTGATTATTTTACTGACTATTATTCTCTCAAACTTTGCATAAACATGTGTTGCTGTTTAATGGAACGATAAATACATTATTTAAATTTTTTGTGGATAAGTGAAAAAAACAAAAAATATTTAGTCAACACTTAGTGGCTTTTTGTTTGCGTCCCATTATTAAAATGTGATTTAACTTTAGGAAGCAAATAATCATTCCTCTTCTGGTAACTGAATCCATACCCTTAAAGAATCCCACGTATGTATTGAGAATTTTACTCTAAAGAACTAAATAGGTGTTACCAATACTACTTTCTTAGTCATCTTAGCACATCTGTGAAAAAAAAGTGGTATTATTCTTGTTCTACAGATGGGAAAACATGGAAAGATATTAAGTGGCAAGTTTAAGGTTATTCAGCCAGCCACGGACCTGGGAAGAGAACATGAGTATCCTGAGCCTGAGAAATACTTTATCCACTGCCTCAGTTCCCACTGGAGGAAAAGGCACAGGCAGCATCAGTTCAGATACTAAACACGTTTTACTGGCCTCCAAATACTGACAGTTGTATTTCGGAGCTATCCAAAAGGCAGATCTTTGCTTTAAAAGGACCCGAGGGCAAAAGTTTGGCACAAATGTTACAAAGTCTTCAATATGATTTGTTTTACTATCCGAAGATATATTTATCTTGAGAAATAGGCCTTCTGACTCTTAAGTAATACAAAGGCTGCTGTTACCCCATAAATACCCGTGTTCCTCATGTAGAAGGGAGATTTCTTGAATATCATGGAATCATTTTTCTCCGATGCAGCTGATCTTGGCACAGGACTCATGAAACCAACTAGGGAAATTGGACTCAGGGAACAAATACTCACAAAGCTGTTGGAGAAATGATGAAAGCGAGGTTCACAGGAGAAAGACCCCAAGTAAAAGGAGCTTTAGTCCTGTCTGGCTATCACTCATTTATGAGATAATTCTAAAAATGAATGGGTGTTTCTATATGAGTTTAATACACTAAAACTGAATATTTTCCTATGAATATTTTCCTATTCTCAGATTTGTTTTTATGCATCTTATAAAGCCACCAAATTTTTATTAGTCGTGCCTGTCTGTAGATTATTTACTCAGCCATTACTATCTGCATTAGTTACTTTGTGTTGTTCTGTAAAATTTGAGCTTCCAAATGAAACTCTGATTAAAGACTCTAGGTTGTTTTTTTCTAGAGGGATGTTGTGGTATTTTTAATGCAGACAGAACTGGTGGGGGGTGTGAGAGGGGCATTTACTGAGATTCCTGACTACTCTGCTCTAAATCCTCAATGGAAATAAGCACATTTAATACAGATCCATGCTAAGCTCCTACTGTAGTCCACTTGTGTCTATCAAGGCCTCCTAAGAAATACTGGCATATTCTCCACATTTGACAACAAGGAAAAAAACCATTGGAAATGTTCAGAAATTCACCCTTGATTCATAGTTGACCATATGTACTTCAAGTTACTTACCTGTTTATATTTTCCATGAAAACACTGAATTTATTTTCAAACACTAAAAGATAGAGAAGGGAAGGAAAAAAGTAAATAACATCTCCAAGCAAGAGTGGATTTAAAAAGAGAGCCAGGCTTTTCTTCTAGTATCGGAACCGACCATGACTTCTCTGGTTGAGTACCAGATACATGGCTGGCTTGGGTTTTGACAGTCAGGTTGTACGAAAGATACGGATCTTGAAAATTCCAGAATCACACTACACATAGCGAGATGACCGCACTGAGAAAGGAACGTGAAAACTGAGAGAGCAGCAGCAAGAAAAGCAGGGTCGTCTCCGGTCCCACACACAGAGTTGTCCTCCTTTTCTGCTGCTTTGCTTCCTGAGGTTTTGGTTACCTGTGGTCAACCATGGTCCACAAATAGTAAGTGGGAAATTCTAGAAATAAACAATTCCTAAGTTTTTAACTGTGACCTATTCTGAATACCATGATGAAATCTTCAGCATCCCCACTATATCCTGCCTGGGACCTGACTCAGGAGCACGTCCAGGCTGCGTATGCCCCTGCCCTGTAGTCACTTGGGAGCCAGATGGGTCATCAGAGAGAGATCACATTCACACAGGTTTTATTATAGCATATTGTTATAACTGTTCTACTTTATTAGTTATTATTGTTAATCTCTTACTGTGCCTAACTTATAAGCTGAACTTTACAACGGGTGTGTATGTGTAGGAAAGTGTAATATATATAGGGTTTGGTACTATCCAAGGTTTCAGGCATCCGTGAGGGTCTCAGAACACATCCCCAACAGATAAGGGGGAGGGATTGCTTTACTTTGAAGAACAAAGTGAGATAAATGGTGGACAAATCCTTAACATCATTAAATTTTCCTATTCTTTCTCTTAAATCTCCCTCTCCTTCCATATACAGTTGATCCTTGAACAAACTTGGGTGTTAGGGGCATGGCCACTGCATAGTCCCAGAATCCATATGTCACTTTTGAGTCTACAGTTGGCCCCTTGGATCTACAGTTCAACCAACCATGGATCCAGAAAAGTATTTCCCATCCAGTAGGGAATCCATGGTTGGGAAAGTGTGGTTTGGAATGCAAAAATATTATTTCCAATCTACAGCTGAATTCACAGATGTGGAAATCTGCAAACATGCAGGACCAATGGACTGTATTTAATAAAAAAATACTCATTTGTAAGTACACCTGTTCAGTTTAAACATGTGTTGTTCAAGAATCAACTGTTGTTGAATTTTTTAAAGTTAAAAGGTACTCCCTAGACTCACATAAAGAGACTAAAAGACGCTACACTGAGAGTTGTGTAACATTGTGGACCCCAACTTGCCAGCTGGTAGCCCTGTGTACCTCTTTAAGCCTTGGTGTTCCTGTACAATGAAGGGTTTGCATAGACTATTTTTCAGTTTCATTTAGAAAATTTCACAACTTTGTGAAAGGTATGTTACCCGGGGACCCTGAAATTTAATTAAATCAGTCTATGTGTGGAAAAACTTGCAAAGTGAGGGATACTTCCTAAGGGAGAAAAGGACAACCCTAGCTTGTCCTGGAGGATGGGAGAGAAGAATAAAGAGTAGAAGACAGTCTTCACTCAATATTCGGAAAGCATACTTAGCTGGGTGTCAGAAGTAAAGACAAGTCGGTCTCTGCTTTGGAGCTGTGTGGGGGGCGGTGGGAGGTGGGTGCTGCTGCAGACAGACTACTACTGTCTGGCATTTGTTTCCAAAGTTAAGATCCTTTTATGCAAATGCTCGTCTGATGTATATATACACTTAGCATGTCCTGTTTGAGAAAATTTACCAGAACCAAAAATTATTATGAGTTTACTTTGTAATCAATGTGTTTGCTTTGTAATGAATATAAGTGAATTGTCATGGCATTATGTACATATGAAAACTGGCAGTGTGCAGAAGACATCATTTACTCAGAACAATGCTTGGTGCACATACTCATTTGTAGAACTTCTGTAGTAAAATTAGCAGCAATTCACGGGTAAGAAATCAAGGGATTAGACTGACTTTCTGTGTATAAGTCCAGTCTTAATTTTTGTTATTTTTCTTGCCTCCCCCCTGCTTCATTCACCATGTGGTTGTTTCTCTGGGTCACTGTCAAACGCCTTGCAGTCCTGGAGTCCTCAGACTGGAGATGGATGCCTTGAGCAGAGGCTGAAAATCTGAGTTTGCTCACCATTTGCCCAGAGAAATGAATGGCTTCATTAGATTATTCTAAGTATGGTACAATGGAGGTAAAGCTGTGTAGGGTGCCAAAGTCAACACCAGGTCTACTTTTTAAAAAAGATTTTATTTATTTACCTTTAGAGGGTAAGGGAAGGAGAGAGGGAGAGAAATATCAGTGTATGGTTGCTTCTCATGCGTCCCCTGCTGGGAACTGGCCTGCAACCCAGGCATGTGCCCTGACTGGGAATCGAACTGCAACACTCTTGTTTGCAGGCCCGCGCTCAATCCACTGAGCTACACCAGCCAGGGCCCCAAGTCTACTTTTATTAACACCAAATGAATGCACTAAGTCTCCAGTAACATGATTTTAAACTAGGCTATTCCTTCCTCTGATACAGGTTGATTAGCAAAATTTGGCTGACCATGTGATAAGGTTAAGCTCATGCAAGATCCCAAAGCAATTCACAAGCACTGAAGGGTGAGAGGAATACAACTGGGACAACCACCCCACCCCCAAAAAGAAATGCTCACTGTACTTACCTGTATGAACAAAAACAATTGGAATCAGCGAATTAGTTCACTTACAGGCGTTCCGAAGTGAATTTTGAAGTTACAAGAGTTTAATTTGTTAGAGGCATGATGTTCAAGATGTTCAAAGCTTCAAGCACAGTCCCAGCAAGTTATAGTTATTCATGCTGGAAGCTAGCTGTTCTACCTTTACATGAATGAGAATGGCAATAAATATCAATGGTTACTGCTGGGAGTGGTGAGGATGGCAAGGCCTCAGGTCCAGGATCACAGCTGAATCTGAGGCGTGGAGATGAGGTCTACAGATCCTACTTTGTAGGATCTATAGCATTATCCCCATATTGTGACTGAATGTTTTATTATTATGCATGGCTCCTTAAAAATGAAACTTATAAATATCCTATTGCAAAGACAACTTTAATGCCAATTAGCACTAGTGTGACCATAATGCCTAGCAAAAGAAGGAAGAGAAAGAAAAAGAACAAGTGGAGCTTTTGGTCTTTAAATTAATTAACATGACCTTCCTTATTCTTTTGAGAAGCTAGGAAAAATTTTTGAGTTTCATTAAGAAGTGGCCTACAATATTGTTTTAATTGAAACTGAATAACATCCTCGGGAATATTAAATTTTAAAAGCCTAACCAGCAAATAGCATATTATTAAAAGCTGCATCACTTATGTCAAATAAATTAGTACTTGATTTTTAGAGATTCATTATTAAGTTCTTAAGTGATCAGTATCCTGAAATTCAAATTCAAGTAACGTTAATATTTCAGTTACAGAAAGCAGAAGATTTGGTCATAAATTGCAACGAAGTTAAACGACCTCCAAAGTATTCAAACACTTCGATTAAACCAACGTTCTTATTTACCTGTAAAACCTGGAAAAACAGGTCCTAGAAAGTTTTATTACCTCGCTAAGTTAATAGCTGCCTTACCCTTCCATCCATTCCACAAGTTTTTGACCTCAACTTGTAAAGTCTCTCACTTTTTGTGGTCAAGTTCATGCCTTAAAAGGAGAAAGTAAAAGTCCTTTGCTTGGTGCGAACTCTGCATCATTCTATTAGTCTTTAGATAATCCTATTCTCACTCCAAATTCTGACTTTTAGGTTGTTTCTCCCTTTCTTTTTTCTTTTCTCGTTTGTATTGAGGATAGTATAGGGAAGAGGTCAAAGCCTCTGAAACTGTTTGCCAAAAATATGAACTGAACACTAACGAGCAAAAAATATAAAACAGGAGGTTTCCAATAAAGTGACATGCACTCTCAAACTCTCAGAGGGAACAAACAAAATAAGACCACAGGAACTTAGACTGTTCCGGCATAGCCGCAAAGGTGGGAGAGGTGCAAGCGCCTAGGGAAGCCGCGGCCTCCGCCCTGATCACCGGCAGGTGGCTCGTGGCAAGCGCCTCGGACAACAATGGCCAGAATGGGCTTTGCCTGAGTCGCCAGTTCGTGGTGTCTGCCCCGGCCTAGAAAAATTATCTAGCTCCAAAGAATGACAAAACAGAAACAGAAGCGTGCATTACGCTACCCAAGAGGCATCCCCCGCCCCTTCGGCCCCCCGCCCAGCACCCTCATTTCTAATCTCTCACCGATTCCTCCTTATGGTCCAAAGAGGAACCTGTCACCAATCAAGTTCCCGAGCAAGTTATTTCCCACAGCCCCTCCACCTGCTGGGGCGGTGTTCTGCGCACCCCAGGCTTCCCTCCGGCAACAACCCCCACCCATGGGCTGCAGCAAAAACGGGGCGCTCCGGCAGGGCGGGGGCGGGCGGCTGCGGTGGATCCGGCCGGCTACAGCCGCAGCTTGGTGGCCTCCGATTGGCCACAACGCGGGCGGGGAGGCACGGCTGGGGAGGGAGGCGGGGGCGAGCGGCGGCGGCAGCGGCGGGCGGGGATAGGAGAGGGGAGAGGGCCGCGCAGCCGGGCAGCGCGTGCGGCTTGAGCGGGGATAGCGCGGTGGCGGCGGTGGCCTGGTCGCACTAGCGGGTGCAGAGCGGAGTGCGCGGCGGCGCCAGGGAGTGGGGCGGCGCGCGCATTAAGCGGCGCAGGGCGAGGACCAGCGCGCAGGCGGCAGGTTCGGCAGCGCAGGCAGCTTCGCGGGACGGACCCTTGGTGGTAGTGGTCAAGCCGTCCTCCAGTTTCACCTCCGGGCGGTGAACAATCTTCAACTCGCCCGGGGGACCGGAAAGGGGAGCGCAGAAGCGGCCCTCAGCCCCCACGCAGACGAGACGCCAGGCGGCGGGACTGCTACCCTTTGTAGGCGCAGCGCGCAGGACACCGAGTGCCCTCCCTGCGGCGCTCTCCTGGGAGTCTTAGTCGTGGCGAGCGGACTTGGAGAGGGTACCCGGAGGGGCGAGAAAAAAAAACACAAGCCCGAAACCTCGCGTTGCGGAGCTCTGCTCCACTTCCACCTCCGCATCCTACACCGGCCAAGGTCCCCGCTGCTGCCGCCTGCATCCCTCCCGGCTTCCGCTGCGCTTTGGGCCACACCAGAATCGCCTGCGCTGCCTCCGCGGCCGCCTACTGACACACACACCCTCATACGCACTCCCGCCTTCTCCTCCGCCCCCTCCTCAGCCCCTTGATCTCTCGGTCTGTTTTATTACTCCTGGTGCGAGTCCCGCGGACTCCGTGGCCCGCTATTTGTCATCAGCTCGCTCTCCATTGGCGGGGAGAAGAGAGCAGCGGAGAAGGGGGTGGGGTGGGGAGGAGAAGGGAAGGGGGTGGAAACTGCCTGGAGCCTTCTCTCCGCGCTGCTGTTGGTGCTGCCGCTGCTGCTGCCGCCGCCTCCGGCTCCTTGCTCGGCCCCTCTCCGCCTCCATGTGCCGGATAGTGGGAGCGCCGCAGACCCTGCTGCCGCTGCTGGCGGCCCTGCTTCAGGTACGCGGCGGTCCCTCGGGCGGGCCGCGAGTTGGGTGGGGTGAGCCGGGAGGCACCGGGTCCCTTTGTTCCCCGCGCTGCTGCGGGGCCGGGCTGCGCACCCGGGAAGGGAGGTGCGGCACCGCGCGGCCGGGAGCTGCGCAGACTGGAGGCTCTGGCAGGGCGCAGGGTCAGGACTGCTGGGGCCAGCTAGTCTCTCGCGCCTCCCCTGGCAGGTCACGAAGAGGCGATCGAAGGCCCCTTCTGGTCCTCCGTTGGGGTTGGGCGAGTTCGCGGGGCTGACCCTAGGCAGAAGGGTGAGGTAAGATAGCAGTCCGGTTTTGCAGTTTTTCACCCCTCGAATTCCACTTTTCCATTTTTTTGTTTATTTATTTCTGCAGGGATGAGTCTCGACTTTGCAGTAGCAATGCTCACTCCGGTGTCTTAGTTACGGGACTTGCCTCCACCCCACCCCACCCCGCCCTGGCACCCGCGCGCCTCCGGGTGCCCTAAGTCTCCACTGTCCTATTGTTTTTATCCCAGCCCAGAATTGCTTCCTATTCTTGCTCTTTTCCCCTCACAATTTGCTATGTAGGTCCCATCTGGGGGAAAAAGCCTCACTCCTTGTCTCTAGGACTCTGTACGGATCACCTCCTCAGCACCTAGCCCTGGCCCGCATGCTCCTTATCCTATCCTGTCTACAGGGGAGAAGTTCCGTTACTTGGCTATTATTCCTTTCTCTCTGTCCGGCTGCCTCTTCCCTGCTAGCACCCGGGGACGCCTTCGCCAGAACCCTTCTCACTTTTCATGCTTTCGGAAGAGTGCCAGCTAGCCCCTTCTTGGAATCGGTACTAGGAGGGTCGTCCGTGGCAGGAAGCACCTGCTCCGGATCACTGGCCCTGCCGATCGCCCAACTTCACCGCGGCGTCCCTCCGCAGAATGCCCTGAGGTTCCTCTCTGCCAGCTAGCAAAGTCCGGGGAAGAGACGCCGCGCACCTCCCCCGCGACCCTTGTGTTTGGTGGGGACTGGGTGGGGGTCTTCAGTCTGTCCCCGCCAGCAGTGGGGTCCCGGAGCTGCTGCAGGAGAGGGGCGTGTCGGTCCTCATTGCGAGCTAGGGTCTCCGGGGAAATCCGCTCGAGAGGGCCCCCTTGAGCACAGCCTGCTGTTGGGGGTGGCCAACCGGTGGCAGCTCTGAAAAGTGCGGGCGCGGCTTGGAAGTGTCACTGCACTGGGGGCGGTCGGGGCAGGGACAGATGGTGCCGATCACCCGGTCCTGATTTTCACGGGTCAGGGCCTGGGGCGCTCCGGCCTGAGGAAAGGGGGCTGCGGGCACCGGGAGCAGGACGGGGCCGACGCCCGCGGTCCGTTCCGCTTTCTCCCGCCGCCCCCTAGAGGGGTTTGGGCCGCGGCCGCGAAGAGCCCTGTCCATGGTGCGCGGAGGAGCCGTACGCCGGGCCCAGTCCGGCTCCGCGCTCTCCTCCCACCAGTCGTGCTCTCCCACTTTCCACCGTTCTCCCTCCCACTGTCTCAGACAGCCCAGGTCCCGTCGTTCCTTTCTGCTTGAGTTTCTGCTTTTGTTTTTCGTCTCCTGCTGGTCTTTCTCTCCCCCCTTCCCCCACTGGTCAGTCCGCCCCTCCTGCCTATCTCCGGACTCTGGGGTTTCAGAACGGTTTAGACTAGACATTTTTGGCCTCTGCTGTTTTGGGGAGTGGATGGAATTTCTTTTAACTTGGAGGAGGAGACCTGCCAATCACTTGCTAACAAAAGTACCTCCTGTTATAAAACCGCCCTTTATTCTTGGAGCACACTCTTCATTCTTTCACCTCCTGTCACTTCATTTATCGTTTTCTTCTTCTTTTTTTCCTTTGAAAATGGGGTTTCTTAAATAGGTAAGGGGAAGAAGGAAAAAAGTGCTACTTCAAATGTTTGAGGTTAAAGGGAAGATAAACATGAATCCTGGGCACCTCAGATATTTTCTTTAAGAAAAAAAAAGGAAATGTTATACATCAAAAAAATCTTATTTCTCGATGTATTCTTTTAGAATGTAAGATATCATCAGAGTACGAGTCCAGCAGTAGATGGTATATGTTCACTAACTTTTTGATCTGAAAGTTTTAATTGAATACAGTGCAGTGAATTTAGGACTGGAGGAGACAATTAATACCTTGGGTTTAGTGTGGTACCACTGGATCAATTTTATTTCCTTATATTAGTTCATTTTGAAGTCAGGTGTGAAATTTGGAGGTCATTTACATTTTTCCATAGGTATTTTTAAATGCCATTCATAAATGTGAAGTGTCAGACGTATCTTTTCCGTTGTAGGATCTTTTCAGTGTCTTCTAGATGATATGTTGACTTTTATAAACCTTCAGGAAAGGGGAAATTATAACTTTGTCATCAAGTTTTCTGGCCATCTGATAATTCATGGACGAAAGTGAAGCAATAACACTGAATGATGTGCAAGGTCATTAGGATTGGAAGCAAAGCAGTTTGTGCAACATGAGTTTGAAGGTTATGTGCACCATTGGATTGTACAACTGAGATTAGAAATTACTTTTTGCTAACGGTCTGCCTTACACACCGGAATTACAAAGATCTGTCTGCAAGGTGAAAATGGCCCCTCTGCAGTCATCTGCTATTAAAAGTCTAGTGTTCTTCAGGCCAGACTACGGAGCCAAGAGTTTTAGAAAAGAGAATGAGTAGGTAGATACAGAGCAAACTTATTTTTTTCAGGCCAGTTAAATAAAGGTAATTGATTATGCAAAAGAACTTTATGCCTTTAATTGTCACTTGTAGTGTACCTTGTTTTACTTTGAACTCTTTTTTCCCACTTTGAGAGCTTCTTTGTTTTGTTATAGAATTACCTAGATTTAAATGTTAAAATTTTCTCTGTTCTTTCTCTTTTTAACTTGAGGTTATTAGTATTGTCCTTCACATTTAAAAAAAGAATTCGAGCACTAAACTTCACTTATCAAAGGATATCATAGAGTTACTATAAGCTTTCCTTTTAAGTTATACAAGTGGCTTTCAAATCCATGAATAGATTTGTCATCAGGGGAGAATCAATTTTACTTTTACTACCTACAAAATAATTAATAGATTAGGAATCTGTTTTCTAGGTCACATTTTAATTGCATAACTCTGTTGTTTTTTTTTATTTAAATGACTTGCATGTGTTATGATACATCAAGGACATCACCTTAATGTCCATAAATATTCTAGATTGATAATCTGATCACATAGGTCAGGCTTTGAACCTTAGATGAAAACATATGGAAAAAACTGCATTAACCATGTATGATTTCCATTTCTTTAGATAGACTTTGAAGAGTTAATATTTAATAGGTGACACCTGTATAAAAAGAAGCTTCTTTTAGGATATGATCATCTAAGATGCATTAATCATTTGAAGTATAAAAAATGTATGTCTTTACTTGATTTTTATGTGTCTTTGTTACAAGTTCTTGTGAAAGTAAGAATTAACATAGTTGATGTTCACAGTTTATTCTACTTATTGGACATGGTTATGTGTATCTTTCCCCTTTTCTTGTGGTCATTACTAATAGATGGTGCATTGCAAACACACTAGGTATGGTTTGAAGAATGATAATTTGTGCATCCTAAAATATTTCATAGGCATTTTTTAAAATTTAATATATATTCATATATAATATTGTAGGCCTCAGTTGCAAGTTCAGAATTTATTTACAGAGCATGCTCTTTGACTTTCATTCTTTTATTAAAGTCTGCTTTGACCTTCTATATGTTGGGGCTGAGACTTTAAGAGGAAATTCTTTTGAGATAGTTCATGGTTTTTCACATGTAGAGACTGAAGTCTTCTTGGAACAGATTATTTTGGTGACAGTGCATTGCACCAAACTCTCCTTAATTTCCTTTTTCATTAAAAATCTTCAGTTCTTAAATCTGTATTGTCCCATTAAGCTTTAGGGTTATTAATTGGGAAATGTAAAAACTTAAAG